GAAAAAATCACATTCAAAAACCTTAGCAATCCAATAACACGACCACTCTATGCAACACAAAATTAATCGCAAAAACACAATCATAAAAAACAGGTACCAAAATCAGTGCTTATTTTTTAATGATAAATGAAAAACGACAGACCGCACTGTAATATAACCAATTTTCAACAAAATAAAACCCAACTAACAGGCAAGTCAAAAGAAGCCAACCCTATTCTGAAGACAAAGATTCTTTCAATCATATTCAACAACATTATAAAACTAATCAAAGAAAAAATCACTAGAAAAAAATTCAACCAGATAATTTTTTCAACCAGATTTTTTCGAACCGTATGCACAGCCTAGTAATAACATGCAACCACAAAACCATACAAATACTCAATGTTATTAACCCGAATCAGTTACAAACGAAGCCCCGTTACTTTGTTACTTATGGCAATATGAAATTACAAAAAAAGCAACTTACAAATGTTACATATACCAAACAGAACAGAATCACTCCAGTAGACACTAAACCCAGACCTTATGGGTGAGTCGTCTATAAAATTTATTGAATCACTCATGGTATTCACATGAACAGACCCTGGATACTCAGTAAAAAGCTACTTAAATGAGGTTACAGCATATCTAATTTTAAACATAGGTCCAGAACCAATAAACACACCACTTCAGGAAAGTTGGATACATAGACGTACAACTTCAACCCAAACGACACTCGATTGCGCAGCTCGAAAATGGTTTTCAGTTCTACCTATAGAAGTTAAATCAGATTGGAAAAGATTCACACAAAAGTTTTCACAAATTTTTGACTCCGAAAAAAAAAATTAACAACACCAAAAATTCTATGCAACAGTTCCCTAATCCGTAGACTCCTTAATGAAACAAAAAAACAACTGGCCGTAAAAATCGAAACTCTAGCACAAAAAAAAATTTCTTTCAATACACATGATTACGAAATTACAAAAATGACAGAAATTCTAATGATGACTTTGACAATACAATTGAAAAAAACTGCAAAAAAAGAGAGCATCACGACCATCACCAATCTAAGAACCCAATAAAGATTTCCGAAACTCAGAAGACAATTTAGAACCAGCTGAAATCAAAATGAACTTAGAGGAAACAGAAAAGGTAAAGCTACAATATGTATATGATATTCAAACAACATCTTCACAAATTAACAATATTCAAGAATCTGACAATGAATTAGCAAAAAAAACAATCAATTCCTAAAAATCTACGAAAAAAAAACAAATTTTAATGGCAAATTTTTATTCGAAAAGAGGTATAACTATTGTCGCAGATATGGGCATATCCTTGCCGAATGCAGACGAAAATAACAGGATAATTTAGAATGAACACCAAAATATAAATAACCAAAAAAAAAATTTTTTATCAAGACATGAAAACAATTCAAAATACACCAAATATAAACAAACAAATTAATAATAGCTCAGGAAAACCACTCCCCAGTAGCAATAGTAGTAACAGATTAAAATCAAGCCCTCTGATTTCAATAATTTTGCGGATTATCACCAGATCGACGAAATATATGAAAATTAATCACAACACAGACATAGTAGATCGAATAGTGAAAATAGTCAGTATATAAATATTTATTCTAGATCAAACTCGAGTAAAAGTAATCGCTCAGACAATAAAAGAAGTCGCTTATATTCAATTCCTCAGAAGAGAAACTTTTCCAATGAAAGCTCAACAAATTCTTCACACAACCGGAATCGAATCAATTCAATCGATCGTAATAGGAATCACTCTAATATTAGATCACAAAATCATTTTAACATTAAGCCATTTAAATTAGTTATAAATTAGATCACTTGATGACTCTAGTAATAGAAACAACAATTAAAAAAAAACAGAATTATTCTCATTCACAGTATCAAAAGAACTCACAATATTTAAGCAAACAAAATCAAAACTACAGAAAAGTACATCAAACCATCAAATACAAATCAATCAAGTACAATCTACAAATGAAACAAGCCCAGACACTCCAGGTAGGCACACTACAGAATCTTCAGAACTGTAACTAAACCACATACACTGTAAAAGCACAGATGACAAAATGAAACAGAAAACATTATAATTATTAACATGCTTAGCATAGAACATGAGTACGGAACACCAATTGAATCAAATTTTCAACAAAATGATCACACTAAATTATATCTTCAAGAATTATGCAACAATCAAGATAAAACAAACTACACTCCACAAATAATTGAAAATAATTCAAGTATGATTAACATATACCAGAGTACAACAAACAAAGTGTCAAAGCCTAAAGAAACAATTTACACAATTCCAATCTCTTTATAAAGCCCAAAAAATAGTTCAAAAAGCAGATCTTGAAATAGGTTTCCTAATCGACTCCGGCGCAGCATCAGATATCATTAGCATCCCTACATGGAATGAAACTCGCAATCTACCCCTAAAACTTTCCCCTCCTCACAAAGTTTCAGTAAACTAGCCACTGCACAAGTACAAGTTTAACAAACTATCGAAAGATTGAATCACTACTTTCAAAAACTTGAACACTGGAACAAAATAAAACTTTACTGAAACCTATCAACCTTTCAAAAAAACACTCAACATAACAGATATTAAACAAAACAAAACTTGAATAAAATTTATTACTAAATATTTCTCAAGTATAACCATCTTAAACAGTGAATTGCAAATCAAAAAGACAATTATAAAAAACTCAATAATACAAACCTAACATTTTTCCAATGATTAAATAAACAACCCTCAGTTTTTTCAAAGATGTACCCTATGTATAATCAGCACAGAAAACATTTAAAACCACTAACTGGACGTACATACGACTTTTCTATCAACCAAATTCATCAATTGAACAACGAGCAAAATACACAGAAACTGTATATGTCTGATTTTGAATTCAAACCAATCCATAAATCATTTAGAGTAACGATTTCATCTATCAAATACGCTAAAATTACAAACACAGATACAAAAGCATTACAAGTATACAATAACTCACCATGCAAAATTACACTTCACTGAGGGTTTTTCGGATTTAACCAAAGCAAGAAAGAGCATGCAAAGTAAAAAACGTTTTAAATTTACAAGATATTTGTCAATTAACAAATCTTAATGAAGAATTATCTAATAGTAATATTGCAACTGATTCAAAAAGAAATACAGAATATTTAATCAAAAACCCTATTTTAGACCAACAATCCAAATCTCAAAGTGTTTAGATGAACAACAACATATTCTGACCATGTTAAAATTCAACATTCTCAATTATTCAGCAAGATTTTGAACAGTCAGCAGAATTATTATTGAATTGTCTCTTGAATTATGCCTCATCAAAACTTGGTATTGGAAAAATAAATTCACCAATATACTTCAAAAAGAAAACAATGCATAAAAAAATTTCAATGCAATTGCAAGACAAAATAAACACATATCTAGACATTCTCGAACAGAATGCAATTATCTCATCAGTAATCAAAAAACAAAAACCTAAAACAAACACAATTATATATCCAGTATTTATTCTCGCTGAAGATTAATCACTTTAAATCGTTTTAGACGATATTTAAACTCTCTAATTAATGAATCAAAAGAAAATTGGACCACAGAATCAAAACAGGTAGGACTTACAAAAAACGTACACTATCATACCACCACCTATATGAATGTGAATGGTGCTTACAATCAAACGCCATTAGAGCAACAATCACGTTGACTAACACAATTTGTTATTGAAGATCAACAATACGAATTCAATAGACTTTTCAATGGACTTTTCCATAGGACCTGCAGCTTTTTCTCCATTTAAGATAAGCTTTTTAAGTACATAAGCTTCCATTCTTTCCTCACTAACCTATTAAAATGAAGAAAACGCAGCCCAACACGCACAAAATGTAGATGAACTTTCCCTACCCCTAACAGTTTCATAGATTTCCTACTATAACTTCACTAATTCATTAAAAGTACCCGTAAGAAACAACCCCAATGACAACGACATGTGTGAATCTATCATTCAAGAACTCACTACCGCACTTCACCGAAATCAATTTGCCACCATCGGCTTAATTCAATCACTAAACCGATTCAATGCACAAAAAACTAATTGATATTCTGTTAACCACTACGACCACAATGACATTTGATATATGCAAGACTCACCCAATGACGACATTTACATGAACTGCCTAAGATGAAAAACCCCCAACTAACTGAAAAATTCTTCATCAAATCAGATTATATTTTTAATCCTTTGATCCTGACAGCACAAATAAAAATTCGACCACGTCATTGATCACGCATTAACAAACACTAAATCTTGTGGACAATTTTCTAATAAATTCATTTTCTTTGAACTAACATTTAACATTCTCACAGCAAGAAAAGTTTTCGACCACAAACAAACGATGAAAAAAATATCAGCAGACGAAATAGATTGTGTATGGCCATGGACCCTGAATAGTGTCCTGTGTTATTTCATAACATCCCAACTGATAATTCGAGTGAAGCAAAGGCCAATATTTCCGAGCACAGAGATTTTTTCTAAGGAAACTTCACTCACAACCGACACTACACTCTTAAATTATTATGCAATGATTTATGATAGAATAATCAACAATAGTTTAATACAACAATCATAAACACAGAATAAGCCCTCAACAGAACTACAAACTTAACAAAACAAGATATTTAAACTCAATCACACTTTATGAGCCACGAAATAGTTGAAGCATTACCTACAACAACACAACAAAACATTTATCCTCTTCATCCAACAGTTACAACATCACATAATAAAATCGATACTGCTTTACCACAAACTATAGTACAATCAACAGTTGTTCCATCCTTCTTTCTCAAAAACCTGCATAAGGATAACCAAACAAATAGACCAATAATTAAAATACGACAACCTTGAAACAAAACACGCAAACGTCAATAACTTTGCTTGGCATAGTTATGATATTTTCACAAATAAAAACTCTAGCAACCCAATAGCAAGACCACTCTATCCAACACAAAACCAATCGCAAAAACATAACTATACCCAACAGGTACCAAAACCAGTGCTTCAACCAGTGTTTTTCAATGATAAATGAAAAAACGACAGACAGCACTGAAAATTATCCAGTCTTTCAACAAAATAAAAACCCAACAAACAGGCAATTCACAAGAAGCCAACCCTATTCTGAAGACAAAGATTCTTTCAATCATAACCCACAACATTATAATATTAATCATAGAAAAAATCACTAAAAAAAAATTCAACCAGATGATTTTTTCAACCTGATTTTTTCGAACCACTTAAGAACTCTCAACAATTACGACAATTCTAACACCAATCTTTTCAAAGACAAAATTTTGCACAGCCTAGTAATAAGATAGAACCACAAAACTATACAAATATTCAAGGTTACCAAACCGAATCAGTTAGAAACGAAACCCCGTTACTTTGTTACTTACAGCAATATGAAATTACAAAAAAAGCAACTCACAAATGTTACATATACCAAACACAACAGAATCAATCCAGAAGACACTGAACCCAGACCTTATGGGTGGATCGTGCATAAAATTTATTGAATCACTCATGGTAATCTCAGTAAAAAGCTACCTATATGAGGTTACAGCATACCTAATTTTAAACATAGTTCCAGAACCAATGAACACACCACTTCAGAAAAATTGGGTACATAGACGTACAGCTTTAACCCAAACGACACTCGATTGTGCAGCTCGAAAATGGTTTTCAGTTCTATCTATAGAAGTTAAATCAGATTGGAAAAGATTCACACAAAAGTTTTCACAAGTTTTAGACTCCGAAAAAAAGGAACAACACCAAAAATCCAAAGCAACAATTCCCTAATCCGTAGACTCCCTAATGAAACAAAAAAAAACAAATTAGCATGAAAAAAAATTTCTCTCAATTTACATGATTATAAAATTTCAAAAATGACAGAAATTCTCATGATGACTTTGACAATACAATTAAAAAAACTGCAAGAAAATAGAGCATCACGACCATCACCAATCTATGAACCCGATATAGATATCCAAAACTTAGAAGACAATTTAGAACAAGCTGAAATCAAAATGAAGTTAGAGGAAACAGAAAATATAAAGCTACAATATATATATGATATCCAAACAACATCTTCACATATTAACAATATTCAAGAATCTGACAATGAATTAGCAAAAAAAATACTCATTTCCTAAAAATCTATGAAAAAAAAACAATTTTAATGGCAAACTTTTATTCGAAAAGTGGTATAACTATTGTCGCAGATATGGGCATATCATTGCCGAATGCAGACAAAAACAACAAAACAATTTAAAATCAACACCAAAATACAAAGAACCAAACAAAATTTTTTATCAAGACTTGAAAACAATTCAAAATACACCAAATAAAAACATTCATTTTAATAATAGCTCAGCAAAATCACTCCCAAGTAGCAATAGTAGTAACAGATTAAAATCAAACCCTCTGACTTCAATAAATTTTGCGGAATATCACCAGATCGACGAAATTTATAAAAACTAATCACAAAACAGACATAATAGATCGTATAGTGAAAATAGTCAGTATATAAATATTTCTTCTAGATCAAACTCGAGTAAAAGTAATCGCTCAGACTATAAAAGAAGTCGCTCATATTCAATTCCTCAGAACAAAAATTTTTTCAATGAAAGCTCAACAAATTATTCACACAACCGGAATCGACACAATTCAATCGATCGTAATAGGAATCACTCTAATATTAGATCACAAAATCTTTTTAACATTAAGCCATATAAAAATGATTATAAGCTAGATCACGTGATGACACTAGTAATAGAAACAACAATTATAAAAACAGAATTATTCTCTTTCACCGTATCAAAAGAACTCACAATATTTAAGCAAACGAAATCAAAACTACAGAAAAAGTACACCAAACCATCAAATACAATTCAATCAAGTACAATCTACAAATTGAACAAGCCCAGACACTCCAGGTAGGGACACTACAGAAACTTCAGAACTGTAATTGAACCACATACACTGTAAAAATACAGATGACAAAAATGAAACAGAAAACATATTAATTATTAACATGCTTAGCATAGAACATGAGTACGGAACACCAATTAAATCAAATGTTCAACAAAATGATCACACTAAATTATATCTTCAAGAATTATGCAACAATCAAGATAAAACAAACTACACTCCACAAATAATTGAAAATAATTCAAGTATGATTAACATATACCAGAGTACAACAAACAAAGTGTCAAAGCCTAAAGAAACAATTTACACAATTCCAATCTCTTTATAAAGCCCAAAAAATAATTCAAAAAGCAGATCTTGAAATAGGTTTCCTAATCGACTCCGGCGCAGCATCAGATATCATTAGCATCCCTACATGGAATGAAACTCGCAATCTACCCCTAAAACTTTCCCCTTCACAAAGTTTCAGTAAACTAGCCACTGCGCAAGTACAAGTTTAACAAACTATCGAAAGATTGAATCACTACTTTCAAAAACTTGAACACTGGAACAAAATAAAACTTCACTGAAACTTTTCAAACAATTAATCAACATAACAGATTTTAAACACAACATAATTTATAATAAAAATTAGAATAAAATTTTTTACTAAAAATTTCCCAAGTATAAGCATCTTGCAAATCGCAGTGAATTGCAAATCAAAAAGACAATTATACAAAACTCAAAAATACAAACCTAACATTTTTCCAATGATTAATTAAACAACCCTCAGTTTTTTCAAAGATGTACCCTATGTATAATCAGCACAGTAAACAATTAAAACCACTAACTGGACGTACATACGACTTTTCTATCAACCAAATTCATCAATTGAACAACGAGCAAAATACACAGAAACTGTATATGTCTGATTTTGAATTGAAACCAATCCATAAATCATTAAGAGTAACAATTTCATCTATCAAATACGCTAAAATTACAAACACAGATACAAAAGCATTACAAGTATACATTAACTCACCATACAAAATTACACTTCACTGAGGACTTTTTGGATTTAACCAACACAAGAAAGAGCATGCAAAGTGAAAAATGTTTTAAATTTACAAGATATTTGTCAATTAACAAATCTTAATGAAGAATTATCTAATAGTAATATTGCAACTGATTCAAAAAGAAATACAGAATATTTAATCAAAAACCCTATTTTAGACCAACAATCCAAATCTCAAAGTGTTTAGATGAACAACAACATATTCTGACCATGTTAAATTTCAACATTCTCAATTATTCAGCAAGAATTTGAACAGTCAGCAGAATTATTATTGAATTGTCTCTTGAATTATGCCTCATCAAAACTTGGTATTGGAAAACTAAATTCACAACTACACTTCAGTATTGATTCTCGCAGAAGAATAATCGCTTCAAATTGTTTTAGACGATATTTAAACTCTCTATTTGATGAATCAAAATGAAATTGGCCCATAGAATCAAATTAAGTAGGACTTACAAAAAAAACGTACACTATCATACCCACCGCCTTTATGAATAGTGCTTACAATCAAACGCCATTAGAGGAACAATCACGTTGATTAACACAATTCGTTATTGGAGATCAACAATGCGAATTCAATAGACTTTTCTATGATATATCCATAGAACCTGCAGCTTTTTCTCCATTTAAGATAAACCAGACTTTTAAGTACAAAACCTTCCATTCTTCCCTCAATGTATCTATTAAAATGGAGAAAACGAAGCCCAACACGCAGAATATGTAGCTGAACATTCCCTACCCCTAACAGTTTCATAGAATTCCTACTATAGCTTCACTAATTCATTAAAAGTACCCGTAAGAAACAACCCCGATGACAACGACATGTGTGACTCTATCATTCAAGAACTCACTACCGCACTTCACCGAAATCAATTTGCCACCATCGGCTTAATTCAATCACTAAACCGATTCAATGCACAAAAAACTAATTGATATTCTGTTAACCACTACGACCACAATGACATTTGATATATGCAAGACTCACCCAACGACGACATTTACATGAACTGCCTAACATGAACAACCCACAACTAACTGAAAAATTCTTCATCAAATCAGATTATATTTTTAATCCTGACAGCACAAACAAAAAGTCGACCACATCATTGATCACGCATTATCAAACACTAAAGCTTGTGGACCATTTTCTAATAAATTCATTTTCTTTGAATTAACATTTTACATTCTCACACCAAAGGAAATATCCATAGTTTCAGCAACAGAACAGAATTTTAAAAATTAGCAAACAGTTGCTCTTCTCTGGAACAGTTCTTGTTATCTATTCTCGCAAATACCAAAATACACTAGTCTATTGAGACTAGGACATATAAGAGTAAGATTAAGATTGGTATTACACTACGAAGTTACACGAATCTATCCGGCCGAAAAAAAAGATAGCGCAACTAACAGACCATATACCTTATCTGAAGTTACTCTCTGAGTGAGCCAACCCGGACATAAACTCAATATGACGGTTTTTGTGATTTTCCAAAAAGTTTCAGAAATTTTAGATTTCAAAGGTTTTTCAAATAACTAATCTTACACAATAGTGGGGTGACGTCAGGGTACTGTCGGGGGTTGCAAGTCTTGCCTCCAAGTTTGACTGTTGAAATCTCTTTAATTTTCGAGAATTGATTTTTTTTTTTTGATAATTGACTTTTCAAATATTTTCAACACAATTTTTTCGCAGATTCAAAAATTATATTTCTAAATTTTTCAAATTCTGCACCCAATGACAGGGTTACGTCAAGTTACTTCGTGGGCTTTTAGATATCGCTTCCATCTATGCGTCCTGAAATGTCGGAATTTGACGGGCTTTTATCAGAGGTTTTCAAAAAAAAATTTCAATATATTATCACGAACTTTGAAACTTCAGCTTTCTGTTGCGGTGCTGTGGTGGTAGTTAAAAGCGCAATAGCATTGGATCTTCGGCCATTTAGGTTTGAAAAGAACACTATGGAGAACCTTGAAAGAACCCCAGTCTATTTCAAAGTTTTTTCTAATTTTGGTCTTTTTTATATGTTCCAATAGACTATTCTATGGTATATCCATAGGACCTGCAGCTTTTTCTCCATTTAAGATAAACCTGACTTCTAAGTACAAAACCTTCCATTCTTCCCTCAATAAACCTAATAAAATGGAGAAAACGAAGTCCAACACGCACAATATGTAGATGAACATTCCCTACTCCTAACAGTTTCATAGATTTCCTACTATAACTTGCTAATTCATTTAAAGTACCCGTAAGAAACAACCCCGATGACAACGACATGTGTGACTCTATCATTCGAGAACTCACTACCGCACTTCATCGAAATCAATTTGCCACCATCGGCTTAATTCAATCACTAAACCGATTCAATGCACAAAAAACTAATTGATATTCTGTTAACCACTACGACCACAATGACATTTGATATATGCAAGACTCATCCAATGACGACATTTACATGAACTGCCTATCATGAACAACCCGCAACTAACTGAAAAATTCTTCATCAAATCAGATTATATTTTTAATCCTGACAGCACAAACAAAATTTCGAACAAATCATTGATCACGCATTATCAAACACTAAAGCTTGTGGACCATTTTCTAATAAATTCATTTTCTTTGAACTAACATTTTACATTCTCACACCAAAGGAAATATCCATAGTTTCAGCAACAGAACAGAATTTAAAAAATTAGCAAACAGTTGCTCTTCTCTGGAACAGTTCTGGTTATCTTTTCTCGCAAATACCAATATACACTAGATCTATTGAGACTAGGACATATTAGAGTAAGATTAAGATCGGTATTAGACTACGAAGTTGCACGAATCTATCCGGCCGAAAAAAAAGATAGCGCGACTAACAGACCATGTACCTTATCTGAATTTACTCTGAGTGAGCCAACCCGGACATAAACTCAATATGACGGTTTTTGTGATTTTCCAAAAAGTTTCAGAAATTTTAGATTTCAAAGGTTTTTCAAATAACTAATCTTACACAATAGTGGGGTGATGTCAGGGTACTGTCGGGGGTTGCAAGTCTTGCCTCCAAATTTGACTGTTGAAATCTCTTTAATTTTCGAGAATTGATTTTTTTTTTTTGATAATTGACTTTTCAAATATTTTCAACACAATTTTTTCGCAGATTCAAAAATTATATTTCTAAATTTTTCAAATTCTGCACCCAATGACAGGGTTACGTCAAGTTACTTCGTGGGCTTTTAGATATCGCTTCCATCTATGCGTCCTGAAATGTCGGAATTTGACGGGCTTTTATCAGAGGTTTTCAAAAAAAAATTTCAATATATAATCACGAACTTTGAAACTTCAGCTTTCTGTTGCGGTGCTGTAATGGTAGTTTAAAGCGCAATAGCATTGGATCTTCGGCCATTTAGGTTTGAAAAGAACACTATGGAGAACCTTGAAAGAACCCCAGTCTATTTCAAAGTTTTTTCTAAATTTTGTCTTTTTTATATGTTTTAGGAAACAATTTTAACATTCCCTAGCCTGTTTGAAGCACCGTATTTGCGACTCAAGGGCTTTAGTTCTTCTTAGTCAGGTTATTTTTTATCTTTTTGTTCTTCAGGTTTTGGAGAGTGTGGATGAACTTCTGTTCAAGTTGTGCGTGTTGCGTGGTCTCACTGATAAAAGAGGAGAAGTGTTTCTACTCGGAGATAAAGTCTTTCTCGCCATCGAAATACTGGCACCTCAAGTAAGGTTTTATCAAATTTCATTTCTTACAAGAAGTAGAAAACCAGCTAATCAGATAATTTTATTATAATTGATTCGGTCAGTTTTTGGTCACTCTGCGTCTACCGGGTCGAGATCCCGCTCAAAAACCGCTCAAGATATGAGCGGTTTGAGCGGTTTTTCCGTTCCGTTATCATGATAACAAAAACCCCACTCAAATCAAAGCTTGCCGTAAAATTGTAAACCATGATCCAAGTGTAAAAGTTCGATCATTGAGCAAAAGCAAGATAAACTTGCTATTAATTATAGCTATTTTATTTATGCTATTATTTACGCTATTGTTCGCTCGCTATAAGATAAATTATGATTTTAAACCGAATAGTTTAGAATTCGTAGCATACGTTTAGTTGTTGTATAAAAACTGAAACTAAATTGAAGGATTATCAAAAATTCCTGAAACTGTACCATAAACCTATTTCACTCCGAGACTTCGGATTGCTGTTCGGTTCCAGTTGTGAAGCAATTTATGACTAGTACAAGACTGCTCGGTTATCAGGGCAAAGCCCTGAATATTCCGACTGTCCCTTAAATCATATCGAATAGTTTTTAGGAAAAGAAAATATTGAAAACATGTAAATTTTGGACAAAATCAAAGTGTAAAATTTTGAGTCGTACGAAATTAAAACGACCAATTAGCTAGCCTCAATTCATTCTGGAACAATTTTGTTGTACGGAATAATTCGTCATGCATAAAAAATTCGTGCTACGCTCTCAGTAATATGAATAAATACTTCAAAGAGCGCATAATTTAGTCCAGAACATGGTCAATTTGGCAATTTGCAAAATTGGCAACCCCCACAAATCTTCAATGGGGTATTTTTTGTCGAAAACTATCTTTCGATCGGCGAAAATTGAATAAAAAAACCACACCGAGCATAAATATTCAGTTTTCTTCGGAAGTCGGAGCAATAACGAGCTTAAGGTATTTTTCTTTGCTTTGTACGATTGAGTTTCATACTTAAGTCTTGAGCTGAGAAATTTGAAATTTTATTTGCGAACGAGGTTGTGTATGATTAGAATTTTGAAACCAAAATCACGCATATGAGAACTAAACAACTGAAGTTTGGACTATTTTTTTCACAATCGAAGTTCGAGTTGGATAGAGCGTGGTGATTCTGGGACTCAGTTGGGTTTCACTGGTTATTATAAATAACTGCATAAAAAGATGAAATCGACAATTTTCAATGTTGAAGAAAGAAAGTTGTTGGGTATTAGCTGGGTCTCAGAGCCTTGCCTTGGATCTGATCATCAGGCAATCGTGCCAATACTAGTAAGTGGATTTAGCCGGCCTTAGAAAATTTTATTTATTTTTAAAAAAGCTAACAGTAAAGATACTAATAGCCAAAGAGCACAACACGTGAAATGTAAAGCAAAACATAATGGCAGAGGAGAGAACGCAGAAAACAAAAAAGTTGTCTCAAATCGTTAAAAAGGGAGCTTTGAACAACAAGAAACAATTGGTATCAAAATGGTTAAAAAAGGTAACTATCCAATTTTTATACCGTTCTGTTATCATGATAACAAAAACACAACTCAAATCGAAGTTTGCCGTAAAATTGTCAACCATGATCTAAGAGTAAAATTCGATCTGTGAGCAAAAGCAAGATAAATTTGCTATTAATTATAGCTATTTTATTTATGCTATTATTTATGCTATTGTTTGCTCGTTATAAGATAAATTATGTTTTTAAACCGAATAATTTATAAATCATAGCATATGTTTAGTTGTTGTATAGAAAGTGAAACTAGTTTGAAGGATTATCAAAAATTCCTGAAATTGTACCATAAACCTATTTCACTCCCAGACTTTGGATTGCCGTTCGGTTCCAGTTGTGAAGCAATTTATGACTAGTACAAGACTGCTCGTTTATCGGGGCAAAGCCCTGAATGTTCCGACTGTCCCTTATTTCATATCGAATAGTTTTTAGGAAAACAAAATTTTGAAAACCTGTAAATTTTGGACAAAACCAAAGTGTAAAATTTCGAGTCGTAGAAAATTAAAACGAGCTATTAGCTAGCCTCAATTCAATTTGGATCAGTTTTGTTGTACGGAATAATTCGTCAAGCATAAAAAATTCGTGTTACGCTCTCAGCAATATGAATAAATATTTCAAAGCGCGCATAATTTAGTCCAGAACATGGTCAATTTGGCATTTTGCAGAATTGGCAACCCCAAGAACTTTACAAATCTTCAATGGGGTATTTTTTTGTCAAAACTTATTTTTCGATCGGCGAAAATTGACTGAAAAAAAACCATACCGAGCTTGAATTTTCCGTTTTCCTCGAAAGTCGGAGCAATAACGAGCTTAAGGTATCTTTATTTGCTTTGTACGGTTGAGTTTCATACTTATGTCTTGAGTTCAGAAATTTGAAATTTTATTGTGATGTGTATAAAATGTGTAACGAGGTTGTGTATGATTAAAATTTTGAAACCGAATTCAGGCATATGAGAACTAAACAACTGAAGTTTGGACTGTTTTAATTTTCACTATCGAAATTCGAGTTGGATAGAGCGTGGTGATTCTCGGGCTCAGTTGGGTTTTACTGGTTATTATAAATAACTGCATGAAAAGATGAAATCGACAACTTTCAATGTTGAAGAAAGGAAGTTGGGTATTAGCTGGGTCTCAGAGCCTTGCCTTGGCTCTGATCATCAGGCAATCGTGCCAATACTAGTAAGTCGATTTAGCCGACCTTAGAAAATTTTATTTTTTAAAAAAAATCTAACAGTAAAGATACTAACAGTCAATATACTCACCAAAGAGCACAACACGTGAAATGTAAAGCAAAAAAATTCTAAGCGGCTGCTATCCATAAGAACAAGGTGAACTGTTCAAAACAAAGCATAAATCAATGAAGAGACTGATGCAAACATTATTTACCAAAATTACTGGCAGCAACAAAAACATCCTCACAAAAATGATCGCTTTAAACCAGATTATTACAAAGTTACACTTAAGACAAAACGCTCAAAGAAGGTGAAAAACTACGGTACCTAAACCCCACAAAGCTAATGGGCTCTCAAACTTAGAAACAGTTTCAGAAGAAAACAGCTTTCCCAGAAACTCACGTTGTAACCTTGTATTGATTATAGCACAAAACTAATTAGTTATGCCAAGATTGGACTAAAACAACAAAAAAAGAAAACCGCAAGTGTAACGGTAGTCCGCCTGACATACAGACGTCTTGAAGTATCTAGCGAAATCAACATCACTGAAAACTGACGACCTCTGGGACAACCCCGTTGAAGTAACAAATCGGTTTAACTTACTATTATAACGGGTCATATTATGCGTTTTTCTCGTTTCTCTGCGCCAAAAACTGCCCCTTTAACGGGTTTTACACTCAAAACTGTACTGTAAAAAAGGGGCAGACCATGTATAAAAATTAGGAGCATACGTTTTTCCGGCGCAGGCAAACCAGTTATTTGGGCGCATTAATGTACAAAAAATGCACATTTCGAAAAAATCAAACTAATATAAAAAAACTAGTCAAAACATTTGTTTTGCCCCAGTTGAAAAAAAATGTTTGCGACTTCATATCTGCCAGGTACCTATGAAAATTATTTGCAGTGCAAACTTTTCTAGCTTTTGATTTTGTTCTATCATACTTTAAGTTATATACTATACGATAGAGTTTCAGTTTTCATTCAAAAGTAGGCATAACATTTTCTCAGTCGCTCAAAGTAACAATTTTTTTACGTTCCTAGTTTAGTTCTTTTTTTAGCTCTACGTTGCTCGGCGAGATTTCGGTGCAATTTTTTCTGGGTCACATGCAATCGAATCGAAATCTCTGGATTGCACAAAGTCGCTGGCTAACGTTTTTTGGTCGGGAAAAGTCGCACCTAATTTCTAAAGTTTCACAGCGTCACGACTTGTTTCTTTTGGGTCCCGAGAAATTGATGACTAGTCAGATTAAAGTCATTTTTTGTAATAGCATGCCTTCTACCTTTTAGGAATCATCACCATGGAAACCCCTTTGTGACCTGTTACCATGTGCTATATGTCTCTCTCCTAACCAATGTCTGCAAAATGACGAGGTTGAAACTGACTCAAAGCGAGTCATTGGCCCAGATCCAATTATCGTTCAAAGTCCTGATTATCAGAGGTCTTTTCACTACCTGGAGGCCTTAAATAAAAAGAGAGACCTAACTGAATACAATGCTAACAACAAACAACAGGATTGCCGCTTGATCCTTCGGGTTCTAAAACGCAACAGTGGACTCCAAAATCCGACTTGGGCTCAAATCACGTTCTTTGCGAGGTTTCTTAACATGCAGCTCATTGCTTGCGAAAAAAATTATTTTCAGCAAACTCAAGAGTTCGTAGAAATTAAGAATTTTTTTATTAAGCACTGTCTGGTTGAAATGGCCAACGATTTTGCTCTTCCAAGTTTGAGCATCGCTGACGACTCGCCATTGTTCGGTCTCAATGGAAGCACTAGCAACTACGAGTTACATCAGATTCGAAGACGATGGGAAGACTCCCCACAGCCATACGTCATTGTCAACCCCGACCAGATGACTTTCACTTTTCTAGGAGTCCAGAATAACAATTCCAATTTACTTGGCTGGAGTAAAAAATTGCTGGCTGAGAACGTGATGAGCGGAGAAGATCAGGGCATGATAAAGCGGAAGGATGTCTTGAGTGAAGACTTTGACGAGCTTGACTTGGGAGAAAAACAAATCAAGTTGTGTCGTGTGTTAGGACTCGAACCTAGTCAGATCCAGTTTGATGCAACGTATGAGCTAACCCAGGACAATGTCCTGAAACTGCTGGCGATTTATATGAGGTTCAGATGCAACATTCCGGTGGTTATCATGGGTGAAACGGGCTGTGGGAAAACTAGATTGATTGAGTATCTGTGCAACATAATGGCCAGAGGAAAGAACGCAGAAAACAAAAAAATTGTGAAAATTCACGGTGGAACTACGATACTAGACATCGTGAAAAGCGTAGAAGCAGCTGAAAAATTAGCCGCTGAAAATCGCAATAAATTTGGCGGTGAATTTTTTACGGTTTTGTTTTTTGATGAAGCAAACACAACAGACGCAATATACGGAATCAAAGAAGTCCTTTGCGATTTTAGTGTAAATGGCCGAAATCTAGATATGACGTCGGGACTCAAAGTCGTTGTTGCCTGCAACCCATATAGAAAACATGATGAAGAAATGATAAGAAAACTTGAATCACAAGGACTCGGGTATCATGTCAAGTCTTCCGCAACGAGCGACAAGTTGGACTCTGACATCCCGATGCGTCACTTGGTGTACCGGGTGAACCCTCTTCCTCCGAGTTTGCGCCCATTGATCTGGGATTTCGGACATCTGAACAGTGAAGTTGAAAACAAGTACATAAAACAGATAGTTACAAACAGGGCAAGTGGCGTCGATCTGAATCAGATGGATGTTAACTTTATCTGCAACGTATTGTGGGAGTCACAGAAGTATCTGCGAAGGAATCGAGACCAATGTTTGTTCGTGAGCTTGCGAGATATAGAGCGAGCGATGACCGTACTAGGATTTTTCTATTCAAAACGGATAATACTTTTTCCGCAAATGGATGAACTAATTCGAAATACGAACAGACATGCGGTGAAAAGTCAAGTGACAAGGTTGATGATTCTTACACTTGGAGTCTGCTATCATTCATCGTTAGATGATCGAAGGAGCTACAGAGAGGCAATTGAAAAATGCTTCACTGGACGCTATAAACTTCCAAATGGTTCAATGACTATATTGAGCGAAATAGAAACTTGCATGCAAATTTTCATGCAGAATATCACTTTAGACGCAAAAGCAAACATAGCAAAGAACTTTGCATTAACAGAGAACGTTTTCATGATTATAATTTGCATCGAATTGAGGATCCCTCTGTTTTTGGTGGGCAAACCAGGCAGCTCCAAATCCTTGGCTAAAACGATTGTAATGGACGCGATGCAAGGAGATAGTTCGCGAAATGAGCTTTTTCGGAATTTGAAACACGTTCAGATGCTCTCGTTTCAGTGCTCGCCACACACGCACGCTGAAGGTATCATCAGTGTTTTCAGGCAGGCTGCTATGTATCAGAGAGGAAAGAGCTTGCAACAGTTCACGAGTGTTGTAGTCCTGGACGAAATTGGTTTGGCCGAGGACTCGGCTAAGATGCCCCTGAAGACCCTGCATCCTCTTTTAGAGGAGGGCTACGTGGAGCCAGAATCAGAGAAACAGGACTGGGGGAAAGTGGGCTTCATCGGAATTTCCAACTGGGCCCTTGATCCAGCCAAAATGAATCGGGGAATTTTTGTCAGCCGAACAATTCCAGATTCCGAGGAGCTGGTCAAAAGTGCACGAGGCATTTGTCGAGTGGAAAACGAGGGAAAAGCGTTGGATAACTTAATTCAACCGCTGGCCGACGCATACCAAAAAGTGTACCGTTCCCAAATCCAGAATGAGAATGCCGAATATTTCGGCTTGAGAGATTTTTATGGCCTGTTGAAACTGCTCTACAGATTTCTACTGTCAGAGAGAACTCTTATGTGGCCTACTGTACGATGTGCGATTAGACGCAACTTTGGAGAAAAAGGGAGTCGTTGTGTGCAAGTGTTTGCTGATGAATTATTGCAAAAGGGAGTATTCGAAGACACAAGCGTGAGTGATGCGGTCGACACTTTAGAGTTAGTTCATCAGAACATCAGAGAAGCGGATGAGAGGTCCAAATTGACGAGCGAGGAACGAAAACTAAACAACGAAAGCCGATACTTGTTACTAATGACCGAGAATTTCTCAGCACTTCATTTAGTATCCGAGGTTCTGAAGTTGAACGATTATGAAGTAATTTTCGGATCCTCATTTCCCCGAGATCAAGAGTACATTCAGGTATGCAAGAACATCAACCGAATCAAAGTGTGTATGGAAAGAGGAACCACTGTGGTTCTATTGAACTTAGGCTCTCTTTACGAGTCTTTGTACGATGCTCTGAACCAGTATTATGTCTACTACGGAGGTAAAAGGTACGTTGATCTTGGTTTGGGAACCAATAGAGTCAAGTGTAGTGTCTCTGAGAAATTCAGACTCATCATGATTGAAGAGGAAAAGACTGCCAGACAGTTCCCGATTCCACTTTTGAACCGACTGGAAAAACATTTCTTAGGCATGGAATCGGTACTGAACTCAAACTTAGCGAAACTGCGAGAGAAACTCATTGAAAATTTGCAGGAGTTTTCACAGGTACCCCGAACGGACAAGGAGACTTGCTCGTTTTATATCAGGGACGCTTTTATCGGGTATAAAAAAGACACGACAGCTTGTGTTTTAATACAAGCTGAAATTAGCCTAAAAAGACAAGCTGAAATCGAGGAGCTGAAAAGCATTGGACCTACAGATGAAGAAATACTGGAGACAGCCAGCCTCAAGCTTGTTCAAACTTGTTCGATTGATGCCATAATTAGGTCCAACTGTGAATTATCGTCTTTCAACTCCCTGAAGTTGATGGAAATTTATGATTCTCAAGGACGAAAAAATTTGTCTGATTTTTTAATGCGACAGTGCTACCAAAACAAATCAGCGTCTGAATTGATCGAAATTTCAACCTTCTGTAGAATTCCCTCAGCCACAAACATCAAAGATTGTAACCAGAATTTGATGCTAAATGAGCAACCACCAAGCACCCAAGAAAGACATTGTGTGATTGACGTGAACCTGTTTAAAACAGATATTGAGTTTGGCCAAAAAGTGAAAGACTTTTATCGAACGGCAGCTTTACCGATGTATGCTAGTTTGACAAAAATACTCTTTGTCTTGTGCTCCAACGGTCAAAACTCCGTGGCTCTTATCGCATCGGCGAAATACAAACTTCAGAACCTGCATGCCGACTACAAAATTCCTAATATGTATACATTGTTCATAGTTCAGCTACCAAGGAATTGGTATGAGTCGGATTACAGTAGCTTCTCGATGGGAAAATGGGAGAGTTTTCACATCGACGAGCTCCTGAGAGAAGAACCTCAAATTCTTTCCGAAGTTGCGCTGTTACAGAATCGAACCTTGAAGGACATTTTTGTTCTCGAAAACGGAGAATGCAGTATGTTGCAGAAAAAACTGCTGCGCGAAGTTATTTATGACGTCATTGGGGACGATTCGGACGGCGACCGAATTCAGAAAGTGACAAATGTTTACCGATTGTTGAACGAACAGAAGGACGCAAGTCTTGAGTCTGTTTTCCTGGGAAAAATTAGTGCTTTCATTGAGGCTTCCGAGGAAAACGAGGAAATTAAAAAGTGGGTAGAGTTGAAAGCGGCCAATTTACAAGACTTGGTCGCATCGGGAACAATCGAGAGCGTTTTATTCAAGGAGTTGCAAGCCAAGGTAAAGCCCCATTTAGCTGAGTTCATGAGAATGATTGATTTCAACAACAACATCAAGCTCTTGTTCCAATCTGACTGGCGGAAACATGCTTGGATTCGTCTTTTCTCTGCTAAACAAATATGTCTGGTGAGGCCTCAACAAGTCAGAGATCTCAAATTCACCTCTCGGTTCCCGTTCAGTACTGAAATAATTGACAAGTTAAGTTCTGTGTGGGTAGATTCTCTGGAAAATTATGCCGACACTGATTTGGATGATTGGCAATTTTTTTTACAGATGTTCACCAATAAGGAAACAGAATTAGCAAATGAGTTGAACCAGATTTCAAAAGCAGAAAATGCTGTTGATTGCTTTGTTCACGACTTGATCATGCATGAATTTTGTACAATGTGGGGTAACAAAAGTGTTCAAGCTGAACTCGAAACTGTCCAGAAATCGCTGGAATCAATAATGAGTAGCTATCTACTTCAGTCTGAAACACCCACCGTTGCATTTTCATTTGCTCACTTCAAGAAACTTTCGCCACATTTATATGACGTGAGACCAATTCTGAAGTCTTTCCCATTAATTTTTGAAAAAAATTTTCAAATTTTTCAAAAAATCATAATTTTTGAAAGATCAAAGAATCTGGGCTCCAAAAATTACAAAGAACTTGCTGAAATGATAGCAAAACTTGCACTCGAGCAGACAGAATTAATGGCCGAAAAATTGAAACCTGTAAGCCGTAAGATGGACCGGCGAAAAATCCAGGAGCTTGACCATTTAGTGTCTATACTGAAATTGTGCTCCGGGATCGAGCTGTCAGACGAAGTCAGATCCAACTTCAGATTCAGACTGAACAAAATTTCTATTTTTTCTACATACTTGTCCCAAATTTCACACAATCTTGACGACATAGCCGCTAGAAATGCGTGCACTGCTTGCGATTCACTATACAAAAGCACAGATAGCGAAAATGTGTTTGGGACTGATTATTTCCGAGCTCAATTGCTTCTGAGTCTGAGCCTATCTGCAGAAGCAATTGAAATCTACTGTGCCAAAGAACAGACGGGCAACAAAAACTGCGCCTTTTGCCCGCAGCCAATGAAAACAGCCCTCTTTTCACATCAATGTTCAAAGCCTATGGTACATGACACTAATGTTTTAGCCTCTCTCACAGAGCCTCGCAAGTCAATCTGGAAACAGTTTCGGTTGAATATTGTCAACGCTTTTCTAGCAATTGTCAAAGAAAACGTGATAGAAATCTGTGAGAAAGATGCACTTGACAACTACATTGAACTTTGCCTTAAAAAACAAGATGATGTGCCATGGGTTACAGACCAGACCAAACAAAGACTGTTGTCACTCATAGCAACGAGTGATCGTGGTAGAAGATTGGATAACACTATACAGGATATCATAACAAGGAGCCGAAACGAAGTTGATCTAGAACGAACATACGATATGCTTCTGTCAGTTTTCGAGTTTGTCTACCGCAACCAAGCTCTCCATGATTCAAAAACTACGAATAGTGTTGAAATTACTGCCAGTCAAATTCGATTGGTCGCAAAAATGAAAGTAGAGTTGCTTGAGTTTATCGACAAATCTATTGGGCCGAATGCAGATACAGACCCACAACGGTTCCAGGGAGCAATTCCCTCTTCAGTCATGGATATTCTAAAGAGGGGCGGGGAAAGCGCCAATTGCGCTCAAAAGTTCTTCATACAAAGCATATGCCATGACCACGGCATGAACATGTACCAAAAGGTAAAAACTATTCCCCAAATGGCTCCCTTGATTCCTCAACTATTACGATCTTCTCAAACTCAACTTTATTTTGATGTTTTCTTAGTTTTGGGACCAAACTACCAAACGCTCCTCAGCGAAATACGCAATGCTCTGTTCATCGCTGCCAACAGAGCTATTGAAAGATTAATCACAGTTACCGATGTACAGATTAAAAACTTAATCGTTTACCGTCTGCTGACTGAAATCAGATCATTGCCAAGCGTACCGAAAAGTATGGAACACTTTGAGGGAGCTGTACTTGAAAATAAAGTAAGCGGCGTTAGTAGAAGTTTAATTGATCGAAACGATAAACTCGCTCCGAACGGGGATGCTCTAAGGCAGTTCGTCTTTTATTGTCAAACTTTTCTTGAGGTCCATGAAAGCTGTGGATTCATGGCACCATTCAAAGATATCTTACTTGTGCGGCGGGGAAGAGTGTCAGGACTCTATCTGCCGACGTTCCCTGATAGTGTGAATAGACGTGTTAGGCTAGTTGAAGAAGCAATGCCAAGTGCAGAATTTACCACTTGGAACACTTGTCCCAATGGTCATGTGTATGCAATTGCCAATTGCGGTCGCCCTAGCTCTAGTGGAAAATGTCCGGACTGTGGATCGAAAATAGGCGGAACAATCGACGTCAGAGATCAGGATGTCACCGACTACAAACTTCCGCATAATTGGCAAGCGTTTGACAGAAGTTTCTTGAACGAGTTCAACGGAAATGTCATGCAACTATTTATTCACGCTGTGTTATACATATGTAGCAATGACGAAGAAAAGTTGAAATGCTTGCGCGCAAATGTTAAGTTCGTTGGCAACTCAATCAGCCGGAGTGAGGAAGATGTGTACAAATTTCTGCTGACTGTTGTTGGGGACTCTTCCATCAAAACATTACAGGGCTCTTTTGAAGACGAAGACCAGCGCGAGGTATGGGAGATAAAATTTATAGATATTATCAACGCTTCCCTGCAAAAATTACCAGATGTCATTGCTGCATACAACGATTTAATGCGGCAGAACGATTTAAAGGAAGAAAAGAGCCTTCTCCAAGTTTTGACAGAGGTCAGCGAAAATAGGAGCGACGCTGGCGTACTGGCAAACGAATTCTTTTGGCGAAGACTCCCCAAAATAACTTTGACTGGCATTCAAAGCGAATTGAACACAAATGGCGACAAATACAAATTGCTTAGCTGCATTTTCAGAGATTGGACCAAGAACGAAGAATGGATACCACAACTAAGCTTAATTCCTGATCTATTTGAACTTTTCAATAGCATTATTTCGTATTACGACCCAGATACAGCGAACCGCGTACAGTCATTTGAAGATTTTTTGCTGCAGCGAAAAATCCCGGTCCCAGTTAAAAGAAAAATGAGAGAAACGGCTTCTGTTTTCTGCGGGCTATGGAATAGGAAAATAAGACATATGTCCTTGACATCAGGAGGCATACAATGCGAATTCAAGGACGATCTGAAGTTGCACTCCCCATTGAAGTACTTTCTACCTTCTCGTCATGTCAGCGACTGCTGTGCACTTGTCACTGTGAACATTTTGGTCAACAAAAACAACGAACTCGTCCAAGCTTATAGATCGGCTCTGCAAATTGACACACCGTTAGTTAAAACAATGGGGCGCCAAGGAATTTTTTTCTGAGAGAAGAGAGGGTTCAAAAATTTTTATTAAAAAAATTTTATCCGCAGTCATTGATAAAAAAAAACCTCAAAAGCTATGCCCTTTTTTCTTTGGCGCTGGATTATATAAATTAAAAAAAAAATTAATTTTCGAAGTAGTTTTGAGAGCTTAAGAGTTTTTTGGAAGGCACTTGCGAATCTCTTTCGCTACTCGTAGATTCCTCACTAGGTTCAAAACTCGCGTATGCTTAATCGTTGATTTATTTGATTATAGGGGTGGCATTTCGTTACTGAGTACCAAAGGGAGGAAAAAGTTAAAACGATCCGGCATTTACCTCTCAAAATTAAAGAAGAATGGGGCAAAAAATACCTTAAGAAGCTTTGGAAGCGTG